TTATTGCCACATTACTGTTCAATAAGACATAATTTTTCATAAGTGCTCTTAGATATCTTCTCTATTCACTAAGAAAATTGCTGTAGTAGGGTGAGCACTCAAAAAAGTGGTTGTCTTTGCGGTTTTTTTCAGTGTCCATAGAAGTGGACATTTTTAAAATAAATGAAAGTCAGAAGATATTTAATGTAGACCACTGCTCTCCACTACTGCACGAAGATTGTTATGCAGTATTGAAGTGAGTACTTCCCACTCTTGTGCACAGACTTCAACATTCATTTATGTTGAGGTCTTGCTCTTAAATTCCATTCATACCATCCTTCTGAAGAGAAGGGATTTTATAATGGGTTTAGGCTATACCTGCTGTTACTTCCTTAATGAAGCCAGAATGGTATAAGGAACATCAGTGTGCACTAAGTTTAAACTGTTGTCAATCTTTTTCCAAGGGAAAGATAGATTACTCTAATATGCAAGGTTTTGTAATAACAAAATGTCTCACCTAAAATTGCAGCTTACTTGGTAGATTGGGTAGAAAGAATTATTCCCATGTAGATTCTAACACTGTATTTTAATAAATGTTTTAAATAAAGGGAAGGCTGCTTCCCATGCAGTCTTGCTTTGTTCTAATGAAATATTTATCATGGTGTAATTGCAGTCCATCCCTCAGGCAGAAGGATACTGCCAGCCATGGAATAAATATTCTACTATGCCTCAGCTGGGCTTTTGAAAGGAAACTACTCTGTGGGTAACAGTTGTTTGATAATGGCCTGTTCTGAGATGACCACTAGGATTTTTGTTCACTAAACTGATTTTAAAAATGGCAGAGGTGTAAGATGCAGCACATATCACCACATTGTCCTAATTATTTATGCATACTTTACTAACTATGCCTTGCCAAGGAGAAAAAAGCCGCATGAGTCAAACCACTGAGTTGTTAACTGCAAGCACTTCATAAAACCACTTAAAGAAATAAAAAAATAAACACTTTCAAAAAATCTGAGGAACACTAGAGAATGGAATGTGCTGAACCAGAGCCTCCCCTCACCACCAAAGCTCTGCTACTTGACTTAAATCAGCTGAGAGCCTAGATCTTCCTTCAGTCAATGTTGAGTATTTATTTTCCCTTTCAAAGCTCTTTCAAAGGCACAAAATCTAGTTTGAACATTACATCAAAGCAGGCCTGGATTTATTTCCACACTGTAGTCCATGTCTAAGGACACTACAGGGCACTTACCTTTCAATCACTTTACAGGTTGTTCTCTCCTCTTCCACTACTGCTACCACTTTAATGCTGTTTTCACTACTCTTCCACTAGTGCATATAGTGATATGGGCCCAACATCTTCAGGCACTTGTCAATTACCAATCTTGGTTTACATAAACCAGCTGTAAGTATTCCTGTAAAACAAAATTACTTAGAATAGTGCAAGTTCATGTGATGCTGTAGAGAAGATAAAAAACCTCACAGGAACATCCATACTGCTTTCGATCTCCATTGCTGATCACAGCTGCTCTGTTGTAGGAAAGAGCATAGTGGGGACAGGCAGAGAGAGAAAAAATAGCAGCAGTACAGTAAGGGTGAAGCTATTCAGTTTCCACAGTTCTCTCTCTCAGTCCCTGCCTTTCCTTACTGGGTTTTGATCTAATACTTCAATTTGACAAATGGAAAAGAACACAGGATAGCCAGAAGGTAGCAATAAATATGCAGCAGTATTTTTCTGCCTTTAGTTTCCCCTTTCATTCATAGCAACAAAATTGCCTCAACATATTCCTCCTTAAGGAATAGGGAGGAGGACACTTTATGCCAAACAGAGATGTATTTGTTTCCTCTTAAAAGAAAAGATCAGCCTCTCACTTCTGTATTCAGAACTACATATTTACAGAGTTGTTACATTGCCTACAACCAGACTTTAAATATTTATTGCTTGTGTGGTTGAAAAATAATGCAATCAGATGACAAACAATCCTCCGCAGATTCTCCCTCTGACAATATTTCAAGCTGTGGGGGAAAGCATGCAATGGCTGGCTGGCACCTCACTCTGCAAGAACCCCTGCAGGGATGAATCCTGCTTGGATGCTAGGTTCCTCCATAACTGGGAGAGGAACACAAGCCTAACAAGCCCAGTGTCTGGCATCTCACAGAAAAGATCGGCCAGCTCCCATGCCAAAGCAGAGACAAAGACGCAACGCAATAGTAATTTCCAGTTTTGAATACACTTGATGTGCCCCTCAGAGTATTACATTGACTGGGTCTAATAGCGTTTTTATCTGTGGTCTGTACCAGCCAGTCAATAGCATCCATGTCTCCCAATATTGCCATGAAGGAGATATCCTGACCTGCAGTGAAGATAGAAGTCACAAAGAATGGGAAATACTCAGCTGGCCTGTCTCATCCCTGAGCTTGATAAACATTTTTCTGTCCAGGAACAGCCACCAGTGTCTCTGCAATAAGCTGCAACACTACAGGAAGCAGCAGGTCTCAAAAGGGCCATACAACAGGTTGCATATCACCAGTGCTGAATATACCACCTCTGGGAAACCACTGATGTATTCATCTGAATTAGAAGAACCACTGCTAAAACAGGCTATGTCTTCAGGGCTGATCAAATCTTTCTGAACCAGACATACACTGGCTATACAGTGTGGGTTCCCTCCATGGTCAAGTACATCCTGCGAGTGGTAGAATACTTCCTGCCCATCTTGTTGTCTGTATGGATTATGGAGTGAAATGCCAAATATATGTCAAAAGTTTCAATTAAAAATAGTAACCAGCTTTCAGATGAAAGCCCTTGCCTTTTAGTCATCTTTGTGGGAAATAGCAGTCACTTAACTTACCCCCATTTGTAGTGATTCAGATACATGACAAGCTTATAAAGGTGTCTGGTCTCTATTGAATTCTCTACAATGCATGATGCATTGTTCAAGCATCTTTCAGAAATGGAAGTTCTGAACAAATGACAGTTAAATGGGAAATTTATTTTTTCTAAAATGATAAGAGGTACCTGCAGGAAAGTGCAGATGCATCAGTAACATCTTAATATATATGACAAGTCAGGAAGCTTTCTTGACACTAATTTGACCATTTCTCTTGTGGTTATAAGCAAGAGAAGATTTATTTTATTTTATTTTTTGTCTCATATCTTGACAAGTTCAACACTTACCAATTCTCTTGTCTGGATCCTGCATTTATGAAACTCCCAATTTACTTTCATATAGAGTGACAGTAAGGATCCTTTTATGCAGAGCGTGGGTTGCCAAAGGCTTGCTGGATTCTTTCAGGAAAGATGGAGTCACTACCTGTGATACTCTGTAAATACAAAGAGATGAAATCCAAGCATACCATTCATCTCACAGATGGGTGAAGATGTAACAGCTGAAGTTGCTATGAAAAGAGTATAAATACTTCTGTTAGTGGTGATGCAGCATGCAGGACTGCAGTCCCTAGCTGTAAGGCCAGGGATACTGAAGTAAGTGGCAGAATTGCTCCATGCTCTTCCTGTCCTGTCACAGAAAAGGAAAAATGTTTATTTTTCCAATGCATTTTCACTCTTAGAAAATATACAAGAAAGCAGAAGTGTTATTTATGGCTTTTAAAAAGCTAAAACAAGCAAAATATTGGCACGGACTTTACACATAAAGTGTCAAACTCATGAGATAGCCATAGAGAATGGAGATAAAAGCATCATGAGTAAAGAAAGGCACAATATGAAAAGGTCCTTTCCAACCCTAACTATTCTATGATTCTATGATTCTTTGAAAAAGTTCTTAATTTCCCAAATATTCCAATGACAGTTTATACCAGCCAGCAAACAAGGGTTGAGAACATCGAAGGAAACCCTGAAGTAATGCCAAAGCGATGGCAGAGAGGATGGGGGAGGTGGCCCGTGGTGAGCATCCTGTGCTTACAAAACATGCTGGAAAATGCCAGAAACAAGTGGCAGGCAGGATTTCCCTTCTGCTTTAACTAGTAACTTCTGCTTTAACTAGTAATTTCAGTTTTAATCCTGAAAGTAGAGGCATTCTCAGATACTTTTTGTACGTCTGACAGAAGGCTGGCAATAGTTAATTAGCTCAGTTTTGTCAGATTTTATACTGGTCTAATGCCACTGGATTGAACTGTATTAACTAGGTGAAATAAGAGCTTTCACAGATTGCTTCTGCAGTATCTCAACCTGGGCAGAACAGACCCCCTCCCATTTGCCACTGACTACGTGTTCAGAGGGCAGCAGCCACTGAAGACTAATGGCACATGATATGTTAAAGTTATATGAAACAGGAATAATTCATTAATAGCTGAAAATAACACTGTAGTTTACTGCAGGAGGTTTTTCTCTCTCCCCCATGTCCCCGGCTCTAGTATACAGGAGAGCCATGGGCTGCTTTCACCTTACACGCACAAACCAAGTCTTCGTGGAACAGCTTCAACAACTTACCTTTCCAGAAAAATCAGGGTCTTCTTCTCATGGATAAAGCCCCCACTCCCCCCCCCCCCCAAAAAAAAAAAAATCAATAGACAACTAAGAAACAACTTTTCTCCTGATGACAAAGGTAAATTCTATTGTTTTTTTAATTCTTTTCAGACAAAATACTTTACTTTATTTCTAAACCAAACAGCTCAATAGCCCTTTGTCTTAGGCTTATAGAATCATGGAATCACAGAAGAGTTGGGGTTGGAAAGGACCTTAAGATCATCTAGTTCCACCTCCCCTGCCATGGGCAGGGACACCTCACACTAAACCATCTCACCCAAGGCTCTGCCCAACCTGGCCTTGAACACAGCCAGGGATGGAGGATTCACAACTTCCCTGGGCAACCCATTCCAGTGCCTCACCACCCTAACAGGAAAGAATTTCTTCCTTTTATCAAATCTAAACTTCCCCTGTTTAAGTTTGTACCCATTACCCCTTGTCCTATCACTACAGTCCCTAATGAAGTGTCCCTCCCCAGCATCCCTATAGGCCCCCTTCAGATACTGGAAGGCTGCTATGAGGTCTGCGTCTCCAGGCTGAACAGCCCCAACTTTCTCAGCCTATCTTCATGCGGGAGGTGCTCCAGTCCCCTGATCATCCTCATGGCCCTCCTCCGGACTTGTTCCAACAGTTCCATGTCCTTTTTATGTTGAGGACACCAGAACTGCACACAATACTCCAAGTAAGGTCTCATGAGAGCAGAGTAGAGGGGCAGGATCACCTCCTTCGACCTGCTGGTCACGCTCCTTTTGATGCAGCCCAGGATACGGTTGGCTTTCTGGGCTGCAAGCGCACACTGCCAGCTCATGTTCATTTTCTCATCAACCAGCACCCCCAAGTCCTTCTCCACAGGGCTGCTCTGAATCTCTTCTCTGCCCAGCCTGTAGCTGTGCCTGGGATTGCTCCAACCCAGGTGTAGGACCTTGAACTTGTCATGGTTAAACTTCATGAGGTTGGCATCAGCCCACCTCACAAGCGTGTCAAGGTCCCTCTGGATGGCATTCCTTCCCTCCAGGGAACCAACCAGACCACACAGCTTGGTGTCATCAGCAAACTTGCTGAGGGCGCACTCAATCCCACTGTCTATGTTAGCCATGAAGATGTTAAACAATACCGGTCCCAGCACCGATCCCTGAGGGACACCACTCGTTACTGGTCTCCAGCCGGACATTGAGCCATTGACCACAACTCTTTGGGTGCGGCCATCCAGGCAGTTCTTTATCCACCGAGTGGTCCATCCATCAAATTGATGTCTCTCCAATTTAGAGACAAGGAAGTCGTGTGGGACAGTGTCGAACGCTTTGCACAAATCAAGGTAGATGATGTCAACTGCTCTACCCCTGTCCATCAGTTCTGTAGCCCCATCATAGAAGGCCACCAAATTGGTCAGGCAGGATTTCCCCTTAGTGAAGCCATGCTGGCTGTCACCAAGCACCTGGTTGATTTTCATGTGCCTTAGCATGCCTTCCAGGAGAATCTGCTCCAAGACTTTGCCAGGCACAGAGGTGAGACTGACTGGTCTGTAATTCCCCAGGTCATCCATTTTCCCCTTCTTGAAAATGGGGGTTATATTTCCCTTTTTCCAGTCATTGGGAACTTCACCTGACTGCCACGTTTTTTTAAATATGATGGACAGTGGCTTAGCAACTTCACCAGGAGCTTTGGCCTTGGACACAGGTGCAGGAGGCAGCTGTGCAACAGAACATATAATTTTCATCACAGAGTACCTTCAGATGTTGTCTCCAACTCAGAACAGTTTTCAGGGCAGCTGCATTCACTGCTGTGTTCTGCAAAGGCTTCCCACTCCCACAACAGTCATTGACATTGTAACAGCACAACGCTATACCCAGCAAGGAGAATGACAAACAAATGTAGTCCCAGATGAAACACGAAGAATTAATTAAACGTGTATAAAAATAATTACATGCTGCATAAAGACACATGAAAACTGACATTCTACAGATGACTCATACTTCCCTGCTTCTTTCCAGTGTTCCTTTGAAGCCTGCTCTTAGTCATGTTGATGAGAATGTATTTGCTCATAGATCCATGCTGCCTTCATTAAAATCACTTGCTCTGATCCCAAATCCCCTTCACCACCAGCATGGCTACATCTGCTGTGATGGAGCACGTAAGATCTCAGGACTGTCTCCCTAGATCTGCCTGTGTCTTCCAGAGCTTTTCCAATCCCCTAAAACAAACAACAGCTCAAAAAGTATACAGAATCACAATTAGACAGATTTATAGGGCAGCAGCTTCTTTACCCACTGCTGCAAGCATTTGATTAGATTAGCTGTGACCTTGTAAGTATGAAATCAGCTTGATCACCAACACTGGTGCTGTAAGTGACGACTAACAGTGCAGGAAGAATGGGTTATCAACAGATAATAAGCCAAAGTGGTTTCTTTCTTTCTAAGAAGTTTTATCAAAAAACCACAGAGGCCTCTTTGTAGGATATACTCACACTCCCACTCCTCAGCTCTTTCTTTATTTACCAAAGCATGTAAAGAAGGAATTTCACACAGTCCTTGCAATGCAGCACTCATTATAGCTACAGATCCATGCATATACTGCTCTTCCTTTGGGAATCATAGAATTTCACCCAGAGGCTCTGATGGCTACACTTCAGTCCAAGAAACCCTGGTAGTTTAAACCAACCTGCAAAGAGCCCTTTCTCTAGCTGCCCTGGTACTAGTTCTCCCTCACTAGCTGTTCTTTGTTCCCAGGCAGAAAAGATTTGCTGAGGGGTAGCTATACAATCACTACAGAGCGTGGTTTTTTTTTCTGGCAAGCTTTAAATAAGGGAAGAAGCAAGGCTGGTAGAAAGTGCAAGGTATGACAGGTATGCAGCAGAAAGCACCCCACAGCTGTTTGGCTGTAGGAAATGATGACGCTCAACAGCTGGTGCTATTGGGGGTTGAAATGGGTTCAGAAGTATAAATAAGGCCCTGGGCAAGAAAGACGTTTTCAGTTTAAATCTGAGAGCCACAAAGCAGAGAGATCTAGCAGTACAAAGCAGGACTGCTTAGCAGCGATGTTTTGTAAGGAAGTGACAGGGCTGATGTTACGAGCCAGGAAAATAGGAGAAGGGAATTGCAGAAAGGAGGAAAGTGACTGAGAGGGAAATGAATGAGTGCTCTGGGACATTTATTCCCTTCTTCCATTTGAGAGAAATACTTCAAGCACTAATAACCTCCCTGAAAAGTGAATTGGACTGAATGCGTCAGTGTGGCTGCAGGATGCTGCACTGCTCCAGTGAAGCACTTAAGCATATACTTACTTTCAAGCTTATGGGCAGCCCAGAAAGACAACAGGACCACACACTTTCTTGGAGAGAAATGCAAATATAAATGCCCTGCTGGATTCAGACCTGGGAGCGAGACTGTAACTTCAGCTCTAGTCATGCAACATCTGTAGGGGCTGGACTGACAGCTGGGATACACCACCCTCCATATATGTGAATGTAATGAAAAAAAATCTTATCAAAGAAAAGCCACTGAACTGAACTAATATATTGAATTTTTATGTAATAGAGTTTTATTTTCCAAAATAGTTTTCAAAGAGCCCCTGGATATGTGCTGCACATCCTTCTGCTTCTGCCAATCCTTAGGAAATCATGGTTTCTCAAAAGCGCTTATTGCTTACTGGGATCTATACATTTTGTTCTGTGTAGCTTTGATTGATGCAAACTGACATACATTTTATTTTTACAACTGGACTATTTAATTTCTTTTAAAACCACTTCTTGGCAATGACATTGACAATACTATCATGTAGGCCTTGGTGAATAAAAAGTGCACAGAAAGAAGAAATGTCATTGGAAGGAAGAATATCCATCCTCTGTACAGGGGACAGGGACTATAAATAAAAACTTACTGATCTGAAAGGATATTGGAAAGTACCAGTCAGACTTTTACTGTTAGCCGCACTTCAATACATCCTTCTGCAAACCCAGCATGGGCTGATGGAGAAACACTCTGCATGCTTATTGATTTCTTTATTTAGTTTCCAGGCAGTGGAATTGAAGTGCAAGGATCATTGGGTTTGGGCTTTTTGTTATATGCTGTGAAGAAAAAGAGTTTTATGAATTTTTTTTATCTATATCTCATTTGGTAATTGCAGAGCTGTTTCTGAACCAGAACAATTACCTGGATCCCCTCTTTTCAAAGGAAGCAAATTGTGGTATTTTAATAACATGGGATTTTAATCCTCTTCAGGTTTTGTGGCATCAAAGCCTACTTTTGCTACTGATTTTTTTTGAACCCTTTGTTTTCAGTACAAGCAACAATATTTGAATCAATTTAAATTACTAACCTCTTCTATTATGATTATTATTTTTTAATTCCATTATGCAGTTGAGATAATGGGAGTATTTCAGCAATTGCATGAAGAATTTGAGTACTCCAGGCACTGTGAATGAAGCGTGCTACTGTGTATTCTTACATGCCATGAAAGTGCTTACAAGTCACGTAAGAATCATGTAAGTGGCTCTAAAAAGCTGAGCTGGACTTACAAATTATCCCTAATTATCTGAGAACTGAAAACCAAGCAGCTCTGGTACCTGTGAGTGATAGATAAGCTCCATGGAAGCATGAGGCAACCAGCAACTGCAGCAAGACTTTGATGCTGAACAAAAGCCTTTCAAATCCCAGAGACACCCCAGCCGTGGTCCCCTGATGCTCTGCCACTTGCCATAGTCGCTCTCATCGCAACAAAGCCAGCTGAGCATGAAACTCAATTAGGATGGGAAAAATGTTCATGCTCCCCAAACACCCCCCGAGAGCGTGAGGGACAACGGGGCCAACAGCCAGGCATGGGGGAGAGGCAGCTCTGTGCTCATAGGCTCTGTATAACTCTGTAGATTTTCTATAGTGTGTCAACAATAAGCAAAGATCTCACAGTCTCACGCTTTCCACTTCCATTTAGTGCTCCCAGACTCACGGGAGAAGCAATCTGATTCACAAGACTTATGTGGTGAGGTGTGCCCTCAGTTTACAAAAGATTTATGAGTAACTAAAAACCCCACAAAACACAAAAATAAAAACCTGAATAAACTAAAAGGCATTAATTGCTGAACACTCCTGAATACTCTGCTGATTCGCACAACAAATTTTATAAGGCAGGTCTCAGCCTCCTGGCCGGTGCTCTCTCTTGCTGACCAGTTTTGTTTGTCACGGGACAGCATCCCTAGGGTGAACCAGTGCCAGGGGAGGCAGGGCTGAGGGCTCTGTCTGCCTAGGCACAGGATCTGCTTTGGACTCTGTATGTAGGGGATGGCCACCTCAGGGAGGAAACCATGAAGCTGGAGTTAAAGTGCAAGAGTTGTGGGGTTTGTTGCTGTCCCTGAAAGGTACCATCTACCTTTGTGAAAGTAAGTGGAGAAATGGGAAACCATAACTGAAGAAATTTAAGAGCGTTAGGGGTCTCTATTTGATACCTTCTACCACATACAGAAGGACTACTGATGCTTGAAAGAGTTGGTCTGAACATTGTAATCCAGGTAGCTTTCAATAAGAGCGTGATAACTCAACAAAAAGATTGCTTGTTTGTCTTTTTTTTCTTTTCTCCACAGAATTTCTTTGATGCTAATGAAAATTCATTCAGGCAAGGTATTACAGCTCTTTGGAACAGAGTTTTGATTTTACTCTGAAACAACTTTTTAGCCTGAAATGCATTTTCTTTTAAAAAAATTAAAACAATTAAAATAAAACATGTTTAAAATGTATAAAACCAAATTGTGATAAGCAATTGTTTCTAAATGACTTTCTGTGACAATATTTGAATTTGCTGAGGGTTTTGCTTTGGCGCAGGCCAAAAACCATTTCAAAGAATGACAAATACTCAGTGGGTAGAAGAAGCATCTCTGATGACGGGAAGTCACAGCAGAGGGAGGAGAGCCTCAGGTTTGGGTGTTTTAACACCCAAACACAACAGCAAGGATTCTCTGTTGTGGCAGTGTTTGGCTATTGCCTCTTTAATAGCTCT